CGGAGCATATCAGTTTCATTTTTATCAAAAACTATAGTAGAGATAAATTTGAAAAGTAAGAGATCAACAAAATAAGATCTACATGTTAATTAGGGCCCTGCTGATTGGCAGACGCCCTATAGTGATCAGTCTGTCCGTCTGTCCGTATCAAATTGTGTCCGCTCTATATCTAGAGAACCGTTATGATTTCAAAGTTTATACTTGACATGTATATTAACCAACACCAGAGGGTGTGTCATAATGTATGTACAACTTCCTAGGTCAAAGGTCAAGGTTAAAAACTTTGGTTTTAGTTGACAGCCCCATGTCCTATGGTAAAGATCGTGTCCGCTCTATATCTTGAGAACCGTTATGATTTCAAAATTTATACTTGACATGTATATACAGGCCTCTACAATAAATTTTTTTTCAACTTGTCCAGTAGAACAAGTACATACTAAAACTTACTTGTCCAAATGAAATTGTAACTTGTCCTAAAACAATCTTATTGATAACCGTTTTTGCATTTTAAGTTGATTCAAGGAACAAAATGAATTAAAACAATAGAACAGAATTTGATTTATATCTTTTGAAATACTTTTCAAAAATATGAGTCGATAACAACTGAATCTAGTCATGTCACAGGACTTAGGTTCTAGCTTTCTTCAATGCCAAAGTCTCATCAGACTCTGCACATGAGGCACCGTCTGATAGGCCTGTCAATGTACACTCATTGGATTTGTATCTTGGTTTTTAAGTTGAAAAAAGTTTTTTCAATGGCAATCAATAAAAAAAAGAAGATGAGGTATGATTGCCAATGAGACAACTCTCTGCAAGAGACCAAATGACACAGAAATTAACAACTATAGGTCACCGTATTGCAAGTATTGTTTTTTTCTACATATGATCAAATATGATTTTGTGAATTTTATGGTAAATAATTTCTTCATTTTTATTTAAAAAATATGTTTTGTTAAAAAAAATTACAGGTATGATATTTATTATAAAGCAACAGAATAAGGTCGGAAAACGAGGTACTGATTTGTCTTGGTCCCAAAATGAAATGTCTCCTGCGTTGCCAAACTGTCTATTAATCATGTCTATTAAATATGTCTCCTACGGTGCCAAACTGTCTATTAAATTTGGAGCCAAATTGTTTCCGAGCTGGTGACGAACTGTCTTGAAAAGTTACCTTATCTACAAAGCGCATCCTGATTCGGATCAGGAAAAATGGTTTCCGAGAAAAGTATGCCTTTTACCTCTTAAACAGTACCTGACAAAGAACCAGTTTTAAAGTATCGATTGCAAGTAAACATGTCAAATTTATACTTGTTTTTATCTTCTTTTCTTGTTTTTTGTTTATAATTACTTTGTTCATCAAAGTTGGATTAAATTTATTTCCTGCAGAATAATTTTACTTGTCCCGTCAGACAAGCTTGATATAGCTTTTACTTGTCCGACCTTTTTTTCCTCTGGTACCGGACAATCGGACAAGTGTTATTGTCGAGGCCTGATATAAACCAACACCAGAGGGTGTGTCATAATTGTTGTACAACTTCCTAGGTCAAAGGTCAAGTTCAAAACTTTTGGTTTCAGTTGACAACCCATGTCCAATGATAAAGATACAAATTTTTTACCACACATTATTCACAGCGGGGCCCACAGAGATGGCTCCCATCTCAATGATATCTAGTTAAATTTTTTTTCACTAATTTTCATAATTTGCCTTATTGTTTCGAAAAGTTGTTGCAGGGGTTTCAAATTAAGAAATAATTCATATGTTGGAAATTTACACATGGCCTGGGCTGTGATATTCGAATTTTATCCTGAGCGTTAGCAAGGAATAAAATTAACGAATATCACGGCTAGGCCATGTGTAAATTTACAACAAATCTATGGCTTCCATGAATTATTTCGATTCTAATAGGACAAATACGGTCATTAAAAAACTGAAGCGAGGGTGGGTATCTGCTGTGTGTGTGGCTGTTCTTTTTTACTCCCTGTTAGATAAAGCTCAAACATTCTAATAAGTCTGTAGCTTGCATGGATTATTTCGTGAATAACCGCTAGAAAAAAATCTGTCTAATTCTTTTAATTCTAAAACCCCACATTTGCCATTTTTAATTTACATGTTTTTCTTGTAAGCTACCGTCAAATCAAAAGTTGACATTTCGTAACTAAGGAGCCGCCATGTTGACTTGCTGAAATCAGTAAATATGCGAATAATGCAATAGAATAAAAAATAAAACAAAACCTACCTCAAAAATCAATTTTAATACTATATTATACGAATTTTGATGGTTCACATAACGGAAAACCTTCAACTCTAGCGTTTTCATTTGTATGACGTCATGTTTTGAAATGTCTTAAATGCGCCGAAAACATTAATAGACTTTCGCAGAATTTTATTTTAATTTGATTTTGTTGATTTCTCCGAGCACTTGTGCATTAATTCTTTTTATTGTGCATCCGAATAAGAATAAAAATTCTTTTGTCTTTTTTTAAATGCAATTTTTAAAACAATAAAATCGGCAAAGGGTTTGCAAATAGGTTCCAATACATGTTGATCTACGTGGGAGGTATATTGAAACATCCATTATTATGTATATCTCTGAGTCTGCCCTAAGTATAGATATATCGAGAATTTTATCACGGTGTTGTTTACAAAGCAAAAGAAGCACGTCATATTAGAATGATTGATTGAAAACATCCTTTTAAAAAATTGTGGATGCAATTATGATTTGGTTCATCATTATGGTATATCTCTGTGTGACAGATGACCATAAAATAAATAAAATTGAGAATGGAAATGGGGAATGTGTCAAAGAGACAACAACCCGACCATAGAACAGACAACAGCAGAAGGTCACCAACAGGTCTTCAATGCAGCGAGAAATTCCCGCACCCGGAGGCGTCCTTCAGCTGGCCCCTAAACAAATATATATACTAGTTCAGTGATAATGAACGCCACACTAAACTCCAAGTTGTGCACAAGAAACTAAAATTAAAAATAATACAAGATGCATGTTTCTAAGTCACTATCTAATCCTCTTTTTGCTTTTTCCATTGTGACATCAACCAATCACAGTATTTTAACATACTGTAACACTAAGGATACCACTTGTGTTGTAGGAACTGCTTACCATTCTGAAGCACCTTACTTTAGCCCTGGGTTTTGGTGGGGGATTTTGTAGCTCAATCTTTGGTTTTCTGTGTATTGTTTAGTGGACTATTGTCCTTTCATTGTAATTAGGGCCCCGCCGAATGGCGGACGCCCTAAAGTGATCAGTCTGTCCGTCCGTCTGTCCGTCCGTCTGTCTGTCCGTCCATCCGTCCGTCCTTATATCTTGAGAACCGTTATGATTTCAAAGTTTATACTTGATATGTCTAAAAAATCAACACCAGAGGGTGTGTCATAATTTATGTACAACTTCCTAGGTCAAAGGTCAAGGTCAAAAACTGGTTTTAGTTGACAACCCCATGTCCAATGATAAAGATACACATTTTTAGCTCACCTGGCCCAAAGGGCCAAGTGAGCTTTTCTCATCACTTGGCGTCCGTCGTCCGTCGGCGTAGTCGTCGTCGTAAGCTTTTTACAAAAATCTTCTCCTCTGAAACCACTGGGCCAAATTTAACCAAACTTGGCCACAATCATCATTAGGGTATCTAGTTTAAAAAATATGTTCGATGACCCCGCCAACCAACCAAGATGGCCGCCATGGCTAAAAATAAAACATAGGGGTAAAATGTAGATTTTGGCTTATATCTCTGAAACCAAAGCATTTAGAGTAAATCTGACATAGGTAAAACTGATTATCAGGTCAAGATCTATCTGCCCTGAAATTTTCAGACTAATCTGACAACCTGTTGTTGGGTTGCTGCCCCTGAATATGTAATTTTAAGGAAATTTTGCAGCTTTTTGGTTATTATCTTGAATATTATAATAGATAGAGATAAACTGTAAACAGCAATAATGTTCAGCAAAGTAAGATCTACAAATAAGTTGCCATGACCAAAATTGTCAGTCGACCCCTTTAGGAGTTATTGCCCTTAATAGTCAATTTTTAACAATTTTTCGTAAATTTTTGTAATCTTTTAAAAAAATCTTCTTCTCTGAAACTACTGAGACAAATTTAACCATACTTGGCCATAATCATTATTAGGGTATCTAGTTTAAAAAATTTGTCCGATGACCCCCGGCTTCCAACCATCATGGCTGACTTGGTTAAAAATAGAACATAGGGGTAAAATGCAGCTTTTGGTTTATATCTCTGAAACTAAAGCATTTAGAGCAAATCTGACAGTTGGCAAAAATGTTCATCAGATTTAGATTTATCTGCCCTGAAATTTTCAGACAAATCCGACAACCCGTTGTTGGGTTGCTGCTCCTGAGTTTTTTGTTATTATCTTAGATATCATATCTAATACTATTAATTATGATTTTAACCTTATTTTACATGATTTTCAAAGCATCAGTAAATACAGGTGAGCGACACAGGCTCTTGAGAGCCTCTAGTTTACCACACATTATTCACAGCGGGGCCCACAGAGATGGCTCCCATTTCAATGATATCTAGTTTTTTTGGGGGGATGGTTTTGCCTGACTTGTTGCTTTTTGATTTCCCTATCTTAAAAATTTTTTTTTTTGCTTTGGAATTTAAAAGCTCTTTTTGTTTGTATTATGAATCAGGATTTGGAAATGGTTCATATTGTTTTGTTTTTTAAAAGAAGTTTTCTCTTAGTATAATAAACACTGGGATCATTAATCATGCTTACCGGTATACATTTTTCTAACAGCCTGATTTTATGTACAAAATAATAAACAAATATAAATAGAATATATGATACAGCAACAAATGACAACCACTGAATTACAGGCTATTGACTTAAGACATGCACATACAACCCCCCATTCCTGGGACATTGGTGTAACAGTACAACTTAAGAACAAATTATGAAAATCAATTGAAAAGGGCTTAACTCATCAGATCCATTTAGCTTTATTTTAATTTTTGTTGTAGAAAATTTTGTATGGAAGCTTGTGATGTACCTGAACCAGATGTATGGTTTAATGTAGACCAGTACACAGATCTAGTCACCATTACCAAACCAGTCATCTATATATCAGCACAGGAAGTCTGTGATACTCACCAGGTACATTGAATAAATGTCATGTGGATGATTCAATTTGAGTATTATGATACATATATTGCTAAACAAAATTATTATGAAGACAGTAATTAAGGCCTGGTCAACTACACTGTCTGTTTGTTCGTTTGTCAGTACTTCTATGTCAAGTGATAAGTCCAGATTACAATCATTTTTATAAGACCGCAAAAATTTTTTGTGGTCGTAAATTGGTATGAAGTTGGCGTCGTCGTCGTTGTCCGAAGACACATTGGTTTTCGAACTATAACTTTAGTTTAAGTGAATGGATCTCTGTGAAATTTTACCATAAGGTTAAATACCACAAAAGGAAGGTTGGGATTGGTTTTGGGGGTTATGGTACCCACAGTTAAGGAATTAGGGGCCAAAAAGGGGCCAAAAATAAGCATTTTCTAGTTTCCAGACAATAACTTGTGGAGCGGTGTATGGATCTCTCTGAAATTATACCACAAGTTTCCATACCACAAAGGGATGGTTAGGATTTGCTTTGGGGGTTATGGCTCAAACCGTTTAGGAATTAGGGGCAAAAAAGGGGGAAAAACAAGGTTGTCCTGGTTAATGGACAAATACTTTAGTACAAAACATAATTTAAAGCAGTGTAAGGGAGATAAATCAAATACAATATTTGAATTACCTCCCTTACACTGCTTTTAAATTATGTATAAAGTAATCGTTAATGAACAATTAAGACAATTTAAAACAGTGTAAGGGAGGTAATCCAAATACAACGTTTTGATTACTTCCCTTACACTGCTTTTAAATTATGTTTAAAGAAATGCATATTTATAAAGGAAGACCAGTAAAAATATCTGCAAATGTTGCATCTTTTTTTTTTTACAAAAAAATCCATATAAAAGATTTGACACCATATTTTAAATTCTATTATAAAATAGATTAAGTTAGCACTATGGTAAATTTAAATGGGTAATTATGGTTGCAAATTCCATTGGAAATTTGAATTGAGATTATTACCATATCTTGAGGGAAGGAATTTTTTGGGGGAAAAAGGGGGGGGGGGGGAGGGGAAGAATTTGTGGGGGGTCAATTTTTTCTCATATCAGTTTTCAGAAATTAAAAAGAATTATTCTTCAAATATTATTTTTTTTTCAAATTTCAAATATATAGTAATCTTTAATTGCACAGTATGGTGCATTAGATTTGTAAAATCTTTGACCACATTTATTTATTTGTTATGCCGAATCTGACCGTGTATTTTGATTTTTAATTTTGGGTCCAGTTTTCAAATAGGTCTACATTAAGGTCCAAAGGGTCCAAAATTAAACTTAGTTTGATTTTAACAAAAATTGAATATATGGGGTTCTTTGATATGCTGAATCTAAACATGTATTTAGATTTTTGATTTTAGGCCCAGTTTTCTAGTTGGTCCAAATTTTAACAATCTTTAACAAGACTTTAGTTCACATACATACAATGTCACTCAGTACGAAACAAAGCACTAGATAAAATGTTCTAATGTCAAATTTACAATAAACCTGCTTTACGGAAGCCAGACTTGATTAGGTCGGTACGGGTGGACATGATCTGGTGTGTTGAAACTATCCACTGGGCATGAACGGGTTTCATGACGGATGTCTTCAAATCTACGATGACCTTTGGTGCACATTCACCGGTGATGTCTTCTTGATGGTTTAGTTGTTGCACTACTTGTGCTGAGTACCAGTCATGAAAATTAGATTTTAATTGTTCTTTATATTCTCGGTTAACGGATAAGTCCAACGGCTGTAGTTTGTCAGTACAGGCTGCAGGCACAAACAAGGGAATGATGTCATTTTTCTTTAAGTGGCTTAGCAGCTTTTCTCCTGTGTGGGCTCTGTAAACATCAAAGATAGCTACGGCTTTCTGGTTTTTCTGAGAAAGAGGAAGATCTTCAATAATACCCTCTACGTAAGGCAAGATGACTTTATCTACAAAACGGATCATTGTGTCTTCGTTGCTCCAATGTGTCTCGGTACTTGTAACATCCCAGTTGTCTGGAAAATCGACACCTTTCGGTAAACTACGGTCTGTTTTACCCTGGTAGATTAGCTGAGGTGGCAATAGAGACCCATTCATAGATGTTGCTAGAAGAAGTGTTATTTGACGTTTGTCATCAATACCGGTGATTGGTACCTGTTGGGAGCCCTGTTGCTCCATTGTCCAGTCGCCGCCTGGTATCAGCTGACACCCGGTCTGGTCCCAGTTAATCACAAGAGAGTCTGGAATGCTGTGTTGCTTAATGACTGTGCTGACTTTTTTTACGTACTCCTGTTTAATGTCGTCGAAATCAGCTGGTAGATGTTTTACGCCCTTGGTCCCCTTACGCTTAACGAAGCCCATGCGGCGGAGAACGGAAATAGCGTAGGTCTTTGTGATGTTGATATGCCCGCCATACTTTTGCAGCTTGTGTCTGGCGAACTTTGTCACAACGGCCTCAGCTGCTGCCATAACGATGCGTGAGTTGATGACTCCACCGTTCTTACGCACGTTGAGAATCCATTGTTGAACGTCGTTATCTAGGTGACCAAGTAAGAGAGGATTTCCACGGGGCGATCTTGGTAAAACTTCTATGTCTCCACCTCCTTAAATAAACAATAAAAACTTTAAAATATCATTCATAATTTACGTTTTTAAATTGATATAAATTATTCATAAGAAAATAACGGTAAATGAGTTGTTAATTACAGTGTCAAAATCTGGTTTTATTGCCGATTAAAAGGATTAAGGACGGGACATTGCCCTTAGGTGATATTTTTGTGACAGGAACAAGAAAATTCACACCTTTGACTTTGCAAATATGTAGACAATCGTTTAATAAGGTAACACAGGTAGAATATAATTTTTTTTCAAATAAAATTTTGATAAATTGCAGATGTACTTTTGCTTATTCTGGACAAAAACTACACAACTTGCATTTCAAATAATATTCTGATAAAATGCCGTTTAAGCATTGTGTTTCTTTATTCTGGACAGAAACAACATTTTATCAAAATAAAATCTTACTGTACAATTGGATTAAGAAGGAGCTGGGAGGACACAAATTGCATTTCAAATAATATTCCGTGAAATTGTCGTTTAAGCGTGTACTTTAGTTTATTTTGGACAAAAACGACATTTTTTACGAAATAAAATTTTACTCAACAAATTGGTCAAAGGAAGAGCACGGAGGTTACAAATTGCTTTCAAATAATATTCTGATAAAATGTCGTTTAAGCATTGTGTTTCTTTATTCTGGACAGAAACAACATTTTATCAAAATAAAATCTTACTGTACAAATTGGATTAAGAAGGAGCTGGGAGGACACAAATTGCATTTCAAATGATATTCCGTGAAATTGTCGTTTAAGCGTGTACTTTAGTTTATTCTGGACAAAAACGACATTTTTTACGAAATAAAATTTTACTCAACAAATTGGTCAAAGGAAGAGCACGGAGGTTACAAATTGCTTTCAAATAATATTCTGATAAAATGCCGTTTAAGCATTGTGTTTCTTTATTCTGGACAGAAACAACATTTTATCAAAATAAAAATTTACTGGCACCTGAACCTAAAGCGATTTACTGTTTCACAATTTAATTATAATTCTTTTAGACATTGATCAGTACATTTCATACTTTATACAATTAAAATTTTAATTAAAAATTCGATCATAAAAATTTTAAGTGCAATAATTATTTCCGATATGAAACTAAAAATAAGAATAAAATTAGCTTTTTCATGTAAAAAAAAACAAAGCACTAGTACTATTAAGATAAAAAAAATTTTCAAAGTAAAACGTTGAAGAAATTTTCAATGAGAATTATTATATTTAGCATTGAATCTAAAAATTGAATATAAAAAAGAAAATATTTTTCTTTGAAAACAGATAAAAAATCACGATAGTTACCTTGTTTTTTAAATTTAAGGTAGGTGTCTCTCATGCTACGAACAGACGTCTCGCTAACTTTCTTGCAGAGGTCACTGGAAAACTTGCGTGCAGCTCTAGCAACGCCATTCTCGACTGAATATCTGGCAATTTTAGCACGTGTCTCGTCATCATAAAAGTTGTAGTCTCCCCGTTTGCGTTTTCTGGTTGGAGTAGTTGGAAGGCTAGTAGCAGAATTCATCGTGTCAATACCGTCGTTGGCTGCTTGGGTTACAAGAACATCACGTTGTGTACTGCATTGAGATGGATCGGGCAAGCCTGGCGTGGCAGGAGCTTTCACCTTAATACTACCGGACTTTAACCACTGTTGAAGCAACATTATTTGTTATGAGTGAATCATATTCCCCAGAGTATATATAACAAAATCGTGAGATGAGTAAATTTTATCATTGTTGTATGGCTTGGGTTCCAGCTTGGATCGCAAACTTCGTTAGCTTGTTTCTTACTTTTGATCATTTTCTAATTACTTCTTATTATGTCTAGATTAGGAAAAATAACTTTCAATCAGTTGTACATCAAAGGGCCTTTGTATACCTTATAAAATTCTAACGACAAATTATAAATTGTAAAGCAAACAAATCATTAGTTGCCTTTGTCCACGCTTGTAAATGAACACTTTAACATAGAATGACCAAGCGAGGATTTTGACGATTCAAAACATTTTCAATGAACTACTATCTTTGTTTAACTATTCTTCATACAGAGATCCACGAATTTACGTATCTGAAACATTTTTTTTTTATTTTTGAAACAGCGAACCACGAATTTACGTATCCCACGAAATGCCTTTTTTGCTCTATCCACGAAAATTGATACCCACGAAAATAAATGAATCCACAGTATATGGGGTTCTTTGATATGCTGAATCTGACCATGTATTTAGAATTTTTATTTGTGGGCCCCGCTATCAAATTGGTTCATATTGAGGTCAAAAGGGTCCAAAATTAAACTTTGTTTGATTTCATCAAAAATTGAATTATTTGGGTTCTTTGATATGCCAAATCTAACCGTGTATTTAGATTTTTAATTTTGGGTCCTGTTTTTTTATATTAGTCTACATTAAGG